GATCAGAGAAAGACCAACCACCACACAGTTAGTGCAAGGACCACAAAAAGGGACATCATAAAGGGAATGCGTGGAGAAGGAAAAGTACTAGAGTACAGGTGGCACTTTTTGAGTGATTTCTGCTCCTCAGGAATTGGAATAGAAACCTTTGGAAGAAGGTCTTCTTTTGCTTGCTGGGGCATTGCTGTCTCAGTAGGCATCTGCTTTTTTATTTTGTCTTCATCCTGTACTAACAGAGGACGTTCCTGTGTCTGCTTTCGTGGTAGAAGATCAAGAAAGACAGAGAGATGAACAAAAATGACAGATGGGAAGTGCTCAAAATGGTACTTAGGGATGTACAAAGTGTTAGGACACGTCTTCCAGAGGCTCTGATCAATATTTTATTACTAAATTGGCAAACTGCTGTGAAGGACAAATTCTGTGGAGGCTCAATTAGAAGCACTTCAGCAATATCCTATAATTTAGCTTCTGAGTATGACCATCTTCATAGAATCCACTAACCTTAGGGCCATGTTCATGTGTGTTCACAATTTCCCTTTGAGAGACGGATAATTTAAAATCTAGTACTTAAGTGTTCCACAATTGAAATTGCTGAGAAAAGTTTATTTTGTTATATTACAAATAGAAATGGTAGTATAAAAAATGCAGTCTTTACAACTTCCTATACTATACTGGCCTTAAAAGTGACATTAGTTCATAAGGTTTGACACCTAGATTTTAATGCAGATGATAAAATCTTGTTTTGAAAGTTCTGAAGATTTTGCAAATGAAGATAGTATCAAAATTTCCACTTTCAAAATGATATTATAGTTATGAATGCAAAATATTCAATCCCTTAGAAATCAGGAGCATGGAACATGAATGTTTTTAGTAGTAACATTCCAAACTCTCTGGATTTTGTTTTACATTTTAGTGCATCTGAGTCTTCAGAATCTAAAGAATGTGAAATTATAATGAACACAGTATCATACAAATGCTTTAGCACTTGTGAAAATTGTCTGGGGAAATTTTATTGCAGTTTATTCAAGAAATGCTTTCCATCCTTTCAGCTGGCCAAGCATGGTCAACCCCGGTAAATCTACGAAAGAAAAAATTTGGCCCTAAGCTCTCTCAGTTGATCCAACCTCCTTTGATCAGTCTTGTGTTTTGGGACTGGTTCTTTGCACACCCCTAAGTGATGAGTATCAGGGAGAAAGTAGCTGGGGGACTGGGCAGCAAAAAGAAATAAAATAAAATGCAAGAGTAACATGATTATTAAAACAAAAAACAAAACGGAAAAGAAAGGAAAGGAAGACAACATAAAAAGAACAGGGTATAGTTAAACTTTCAGAATTGTTTTTCGTTCCGAATACACGGTTACATCTTCATGCAGCTTTTCAACCAGCCATGCGCCGAAATAAGCAAATTGAAAGCTGCAAAAGCTGCAGCAGTGCAAATCCTTTAAGGTGTTAGGTCAGGAGGCTGTGAGATATGAAACTACTTAATGTTGCCAAAAAAAAATAATAATAATATGTTACTCAGCAGCTGCTGTTGAGTTTTTGCTTAGTGCCATTACAATAGCAAAATTCTGGTTCAGAAGCACATATAAACAGCAGCTTTACCTCTGGCCCACCAACCCTTCTTTCAGAGGATAGGAGATTGGCTTTCTTGACCTGGACATACACAAAGTATGTAAAGTTCAGTTGTCTTGTAATTTAAGATATAGGAATAGTAGAAAGATAACTCCATATAGAATGCCATGACTTTTGCAACAACAGCATAATGGTACATCAGCAAAATGAATATTACATTCAAATTTATCTTCCTTATACATTTGATAATAACGTGAAGGCAAACAAACACTATCCATGTGCCTTCCTGCAGTTGTCTCATGTTATGATCATAAATCACCTTCACTGAAATGCCGTTTTCAGAAGGATCATGTCACAGGTGTTGGAACTTCCAGAGACAGGTATCAGGGAAGTGATGCACATAGGGCTGGCACTACCCTTAGCACAGGGTTAAAGAATTGCTAACAAACCACTGTAGTTGTGGGTCGGTAAGCACACACTATCCCCATTGTCCCCATCTTGGGAAATACTCTTACAGGTGGAGACCCCTGCATCATCTCTACTGGAGAGCATCCTGCAGAAAGGCTTCTTAAAATAAAGTTCAGTGATCAAACTGTTAAGTGGCTTCACGTGTTTAACAAATTAACTGGCAACTTCCTCCTCCCTCCCCCAAGATGATTCCATGTTACAAGTTCCACACTTGCATGGTTTAAAAGTCAAGCAAAGAAAAACACAGTCTCCACAGCAATTGGTGGCGGGGTAAGGGGGGGGGGGGAGTCTATGGTGAAATCCTGGGCCTACTGAAACCAGTGAAAGTTTTGCCATTGATTTCAATGGAGCTAGGATTTCACTCCCTCCCTTTAAGGCAAATAACTATCATTGTTCAAGAAGTTGTAATTATTTTGATCTATGAGTTTTAATTAGGAGTTAAGTAACAGCAGTAGTAATATGACAGGGCCTATCCCAGTAAGATACTGACTACCGGTAAGGAATAGACTAGACAGAGTGACTGATCTCTTGGCTTCTCCAGCTTACTTGTATTGAAAAGTAGTAAAATTCTTATGAAACTAAACAAGAGGTCTATGAATGTGCATAACTGCTACAAATATGGATAACACTTCCCTAAAAAGCAATTAGGTTTCTACCAAGCCAGGGCCCAACCCCTTGTATACCTCTGTGCCTGTGTTAGTAAGACATCCCACTGGAATATGGGTACACACAGGCAGTTCCTGATGCAAGATCAGGGCCGAGTTACATACAAAATTCTCTTAACAAGTTCCTCTCCAGCTTATCAAGCCTTGTGATTTTTGGTTCTTAGAGGCACCATCCAAAATAAAAAAAAATTCCTCCATGGTTTGTGATAATATCCTTGAAGCTAAGATTTAAAATTACAATCCACATCAATTTTGACATTTTCCATTTTGGAAGATAAGATTTACCCCCATCTGTACTTTGAATAAACCAGATCCCAACATAACTATTTAAGTCTCTGCTCTTGTAATGCTGAAACTGATAGCAAGAAAACAAGGTTCCAGTGGCAACATTAACTAATGTTGCTACAAAGCCAGATAGGAAGTGCCAATATTGTTTTATACTGTATCACATAAGAATTGTGACTTAAACTAAAAAAAAAAAGAAAAAAGAATACCCTCAGCAACAATGTTGTTCTCAAAACCCACCAAAAGAGACATCTGAAATGTCCCCAACCAGAAATATAACGAGCCAAGTTTAGTCCTCCACTATTTAAAGACGTTCATTTAGCGTCAGTATTTAGTTGCTACAACATAAAATCAGTCAATCCCACATTTCATAAGTACTCACTCCTTCCACTCCGGTGGGGACCTGCCCATTGACGTTAAATGTTCTGAAGGGGGAGTGAGTAGACAGGCGCTTATCCCATTCACTAGGCCGGGACTCGGGGACGGACTCCATAAAGTTCTTCTTCAGCTCACTGATGTTAGCATGATGTTTCTTTATTTCTTCTTGAGTTTTATCTAGTTCCTATGATTTAAAACAATCAAATGAAGATGAACATAAAAAGAGGCCATCTAAAATTGCCTGTGCTGTCAGATAGCAAGCTGCACTCAAAGTTGTTGCCAATTTCCATTAGTTGTGCTCACTCTGTAAACATACAAGGGAATATTCTCCTTCCCTTTACTCTACCCTCAGATTGAGGGACAAATTTTAATTAAGTGGAAGAGGTCTGCCCCTCTAGCAGGGAGACCTGACATTAGTCATCTTTTACTTCAGCAAAATAGATTATAGTTGAAACACCTGGATTTTTACCTAAAGAGGATTTAAAATATCAAGGTACAGAATTAAAAGAACCCTGACAATTTGATTTCATATCCTTCACTGCATGTTTTCCTCTTTTGTTGTTCTTCCATTAACCCTGAATATCTAAGGGAAGCTCACAGATACTGTTAACATTCTTAAGAGTTTGTTTCTAGTTTCCACTTCTTCCCCTCCCATATGAAATTATCTTTAAAAAAGCAACCTCCATAACCTTCTTTGCCCACACCTCATTCCTTCCAGGAACTATACTGGTGGTTTCACACTAGTGAACAAATTGTGAGATAAGGAAACGACTCCTAAAACTAACTGAGCACCTACTTCATGACAAAGTAACCAGTGCACCCAAGCTAAAACGATAAGGGTATGGAAAATGGTAACTCTCTACTCTGTGATGCCAGGTTACAGCATAAATGCACAGACTTCAACACTAGTCCACTATTCAACTAACTCATTCAAAAACAAGTAAAAACAGAGTTTGTTTAAAACAAAGCCTTTTGAATAAAATAGGCTTAAGCTAAACAAAGACATTTCAAGACAGTGCAAAAAACAAGCAAGACAAAGTCACTGGCAAATCTGATTTTGCAAATTCCATTCTCTATACATTCAATTGTTTTTCAACTTAAGTCACTTACTTACACAAGACTAGATTGCTTGCATTTGCTTTAAATTAATACCTGTCAAAAGAGGCTACTCTGTTGTCTGGTCACCCAGTCCTGCGATCCTGCAAGCTTACCAAAGACAGACTGCCTTCAGCTAGCAGAGATAAAAGGGTGCTTCATTAATATAGCTCTCTCTTTTGGCCTATCCGTGGGGAACCAATAGTTTTAGCTTTTGTCCCGCATGAAAACAGGAGATGAGTGCCTGCTAGTTAGAAAAAGCATGAAAACAACTATTGAAGACTCCATGATAAGCTCACAAGCTGGAATCGGCAACACATGCAGAGGAGCCCTGCCACTGACTCTGGATTGAAAGAACACAAAGATCACTCCTCTTGTTTAGCCTGCCCCTGGTAAGAAGCACTTTATTCACATTTGGACTTCCCCCGCCAGAATAGTATTAATGTGGAAGCTAAAGTTAGCAGGATGTATCCCACAGAAGTTTGAATTGCTTTTGTAAGCCTCTTTTAATGAACAAAGCCCTCTAATAATTACACTTTCTTCCTGTTCCACCTTTTTATAAATTTATGAAGCACAGAAGCTCAAGATCTGAAGGAGTAACTGTTTTCAATAAAACAAAATAAACATTTTCTAGAACATTTCCCCGCACTCAGCCAGTCTGCTGGATTTAATCTGATCTGCCAAATACACAGAATGAAAAGGAAGAAACAATAGGCAACTCAACCTTTTTGGTTGCCCATTTCTAGCTGAGGGTCTGTGAACACCTGTAACAAAAGTGTTTCGGGTGGCAGGGGAAGGCAGTAAGAGGTTAAGGCAAAACGAAGCGCACCGGAGCACACAATACATGTGCCAGAGCCAAGTACCACACTAGCAGGAAAAAAGCATTTAGGACAAATTTTCATTGAGAATTGATAAACAATTAGCTTATGCGTGGCCTAAACAAATGGTGGGTGAAATCCTTGTTGCATTCTGACTCCTGCTGACCATTTTACTGATGTCCAAAAGCTTAAAATTGGAGCAGTCAGAAACCAAAAGCTGCAAAGCTTTAAATTAAGATTTGAAAAAAGGCAGTTAGTACATTTCATTTTCAAAAGCAACTGCTGAGGAAACCCCTATCAGCTGCTGAAGCTGTAATCGTTAATAGAAACACAACACACAGAAAAAGTCAGTACCAGAAGCCACAAAGTGTCTTCCATAACAATGTATAAATATATGATTGGAACGTTCCAGTCTTCGAGATCTTGTTTGCGTGGGAGCCCTCTAAATTTTAAGTTTCAGTGTCATAAAGCAAGACTATCCAAGATCTACACCTGTGCATGAAATGACAGAAAACAACCTTGCACCCTCAGAATACATGGCAACTGACAGTTGAGCAGTAGCCTACTGAAGTGTATTCAGTGGCACACTTGGCTAGAGATAGTAATTACATCAGACACCAGGGGACTTGCTATTGACCACTCGTTTGTTCCAATGTAGGAGAACTGTAAGTTTCCTAGAACACATTAGAGCAGGAAAGTGTTTAGAGAAAAATTACAGCAACAATGATGGTAAATTCTATTGGCAGGTCTCTGGAAAGCAAAAAAGGCCTCATCTAACATTACTGTGAGCAAGCAATGGTGGCTTGAGCCCTCCTGAAGTGGCATGAGCCCTTCTGAAGAACGCTGAACAAGATTGCTGTATAGTTTATACAGCTTGCGGCTTTACGGTCCGTCTCATTTTTATGTGCTCAATTGTGATTCATCCTTGATTCCATTCCCCTCTTTTTTGCTTGTCTCAGTCAAGGAGAGAGAGACACTCTCTCTATATACTTGCATCCTGTGTGATTCACGTTATTATGAGTTACCAGTGCAGAAATTCCTATTTGTGGACTGAAGGAAAAAAAAACATGCAATAAAGTCACTAGGATGCTAGAAACAGATTTAACACAGGACTATCCCAATCATATATTTTTCTGGTAAGTATGACAGAATGAAAACCAAAAAAAGTAGGAGAAATGACTGCACATCGTCGTGTTTATTGTTGACATGCAAAAGCATATTTTTTAAAAGTCTTCATGCAATAGCATGCAAAAACAAATTCAGCAGCAGAGGAGGAAGAAAAAGAGTTCAGCAAAGAATGCAGAAGGTCCAGGCAAACGCAACTGAAATAAGCGTCAAGTTCATACAAACCTCCAACATTAAATTGCTATGCCTGATATAAATGTTTTCACCATCTAGTTTCTTTGATCTTTTCTGTGAAAATGAAAGAAAGGGGGAACAAAAAAAAAAGAAAAGCACAAAAAATTAAAATGTTGTTCTTGCGGGAATCGCAAATTGGCAAATAAAAAAAGTTAAATAAATGTTTGGAGCGCAGCATTGTGCCAATATGGGATGGGCTGTAGAACCACAAGAACGTTGGTAGACAGTCACCACCAAGAAATGGAGGTCCTTGCTCATGAACAATGGAATAATGTACATGAGTTTCATTTAAAGAGACAGTTCCCAGAGTTTCATTGGCTTATTTGCATTGCTACAACAAAGGCAAATAAGTGTTCAACATTTTCTATGGAAGACTTGCAAAGATTAAGACATTTTCAACCTCCTGATAATGAAGTGTGTATGGTGCTGCATTAAATGGTATTGTACGTGTAGTTTTTCCAATGCTTCCAAGCCTTTAAAAAGCATTTTATTAAAATGTGTACTACAATTAACATACTTGAAATAACTTCAGCGTTTTACATATATCTTCCCTGTCACGTACCCCATAAAACTATAAATGCTTAAGTTTTTGCATTTCCTGGAACGTTCAATGTACAATTTTCTTGTGCTTGTTACTAGCTTTATTTCTGTACAGAACTGTGAAACAATTCATATTCAAAACAGAGTATGTTTCTCACTAAGAAATTCTTTAACAGAGATTTATTTAACAATCTCAGATTGCCACTGGGACAAAAAACTGAATCGTTTTGAAAAACAACAGATACTTGCCGATTAAAAATCAAAGCACATGAAGAAATTGGAGCACTGTCTTTTTAAATAGATTAAGTATGCATGAGTGATATGGCAATTTTGCTTGGTGAAAGTGTAAGATGGCTAACCTTCCTCATTCTTATCGGATCTTCCTCTTTTTCTGCAGGCTGCTGTTTTGTAGTGATAAAAAACAAAAAATGTTGGTTCATTTAATTATGCTGAACCTTCATTTTACAACCTTTTTAAAAAAATGTGAAAAATCTAACTGATAATTATCAGCACAAACCTGGGGCTGGTCACCATTTGTGGTAGGCAACGTGACCTCGCTGTGCGTTTTCCCCACCTACATTTAAGAAATAAAGTGGTAAAAACATTTCTTGTTAGTAGATTTTTGGAAACCACTCAGTTTCAAAACACAGCTGAAATATTAAGTTGGTTTTGAAATGTGTCAACGTGCAGGAATCAACATGCAGTCTTCTGAAGAGGGTTAACAAGGATTAACATAACTAACAGTGACAATTTGTTAGTTCAACATCATGTTTCTAAAACTGAAAGTACAATTGACACCAGTGTTTTAAAAGACCCCAAAGAGCATTTCTTTAATAGTTCCACCAAATATAGGCTTTTTGTTTTAAGGATATTTGTAAGCCAGTGTTTCCAAAGGTTATCTATAATTTGATATCCCAATGAGATCACTGTCAAAAGTGACATGTTCAAATTAATAGATATATAACTTTTCAAAGACAGAAAATAAAGATGTTCTTTCATGGTGATCATCTAGTCTGACCCCCTGTATAACACAGGCCATACACGTGTCTATACGTATGTATTTACATTTGTCAGCCAATTGACCTACCAGTAGCACTGGAGCTGAGTCTTTCATTCCCCATAACTGTAGAGCTAAGAACCAATATTTTCAAAGCTTTTTAAAGTTAAAAGGAATTAAACTCATTCAATTCACATAGGCAATCCAAGCTGTAACAGAGATGGCATGCTTACATTTGATGGGCAAGGTAAAGAGCAAGAATCACTCAAGTAAAACTGCACCGCCTACTAGCCTATCAGTGAAGTAACTCTGGAAAGATTACCTTGATGGGCCTGTTGAACTAGCAATACCACCACCACAATACAGGAAGAATGTTGAAATGGGATAAAGTACAAATACAGGAAACATCACCAAGATTGGTTGTCACAAGGCAAAAATAGTTACATATGCAAAGATAAAGAAACACATGATTAACCCAAGACTAGATTAGATTATGGAGCCGTTTAGGAGCTTCTAGAGTCTACAGGATTTTACAAGAATTCTTTCTACACTAAGCGCCAAAGTAAATCTAATATTGTAACTAGAAAAATCTGTCCGATAAATGAGGGACTGGGTGAATGGAATTATTTTAAATGTAACATTGTGTGGCATTAACCTGTTTTACGTTTCAATTATCTGCAAGACTCCAGTAGTCTTTCGCACTCATCCTCAGTGACTTCGTGCTCCTGCTTCATGCCTTTATGACAAAAAGTTCAGAGCTCTTAACTATTTGGCAATGGTGTACAGCCATTGACAATTTTAATCAGTGGTGTCATCAGTCCAAGTGTGGGTTACCAAAAGTTGTGTTTCGTTAATCATATAGAAGGTCCTGTTGACTAACTGATTTGTTCACCTCTCATGTGTGTTTTTAAGGAAGAGAGGCACTTAGATATCAAAAGGAATACACTTAGTACTGTGTGTTAAGGAAGCTACAAAGTGGTTAACACACAATGAAAATGTGACACTGTGATTATGTTAGGCAATTGTGGTTTCGAAGGGCCAAATTCACCAGTTTTAAGTGGATGCAACCTCATTAGAGTCAGAGATTGACCGGATGTAACCAGGTCCAAATTTGACCCTATGTTTCCAGATTGCCACAAGTTTTCTCCAACCAACAGGAATTCTTATTATCCCTACGGGGATTCCTTGAAGACTGAAAATAAAGATTTCTTGGCTTGTCTGGGGGGTTGGTGAGGATATTGCACTGTCTCCTCCCTCGTGCCTCAAGTGCTTATTTTATACATACTGATCTTCCATGGAATACAACTACAGCTACCATACGTGACTTGCTCTCTATATGATGTAATTACAAGAAGAGTTTGACTCCCAACAAAAAATGGGGAAAACAGAATGCTTCCTGTCACTCTGAATAGTGTACAATCTTAAGTTATCTACCCTTTCTGTCTCTAGATTCTCCACTATCCATACCCTCTCTCAAAATAAACTTTAAAATAATAGTGTTGAAACACTTCTTCATACATTATTCTGCCTTATATTTTTATCTATCTATATTTTACACAGAATACTCACAGAAGAACCAGATATTTTCACTTTCCAATTTTTAAGTAGTCCCACTTAATAGTAAATTCAACACAGTCTAAACAGTGTTTAAATAGTCATAAATCAACATTTTAGTCCAGCTGCCAGCCTGTCAGAAGTCCATTCACAGCTCTCCAGGGAAAACAAATCAATTAAAACACCACTTTACACTATAAATGCTGGAAGACTCTGGGCCCAATTCTTCTCTCACATGGTGTACATCAGAAGCAATTCCACTGAAGTAAAGCGCGTTACTAGTTAACGAGAACAAATTCAGTTGTACGTGGAGTTAATTCTTAGTGGAACATATTTTAAGGTGATCAACGGGTAACACCTAATTTGTTTAGGACCATCCCTGGAAAAAAAGTTCTGCCCTAAGTACAATTAAGACATGAAAACTGTAACATGCACTGTAGCATTTTTTGTGGTATCTTGAAGTTCAGGAAAGGTATTCTCTGGCATCACAACCAACTAGCTAGAGAGGATCTCATTCCCAATCCACTGACTATACAGGGATGAGATACCTCTCTACCCCTTCCCATCTAATGCAACATTGCCATTGGAGGCCATTTTAGAACTAGCATTCCATATAAAGCAAAAATCATTTGCAGTCCTCACAAACACACACTTTATGGTAATTCTAAGGCTAGTATACCTTGGCCACTTCAGATGGTTCCATCTTCGCCTTCTCAGGTAGCATTTCTTCATGCTTTCCCTCAGTTTCCACAGCTTCCTTCTCCACTTTAGAGACTACTACTATTTCCTTGGTATCTGATGCAGCTGGTGGGGTAGGTTCAACAACATGTCTCTGAGCAATGGCTGGTGCAGAGGTGGGCCGTGGGCTTCGGTCAGGTGTAACCACCGCTACTGCTGAACAGGGAAAAAGAGTCAAGGCAAGGTTCAAAATGCATAATGTTTCTAGATCCCTAGGAAAATCTTCCCAGGTTAGAGCACTGTAGTTAAAAAAAAAAAAAGGAGGGGGGGGGAGAGAAAGAGAGAATAAAGCAGCTTGTGCATTTAGTACAGAAAGGTGGAGAATATTTTCCTTATAGTTTTAATAATAGGCATCGTACAGAAAGTAAAAAAGCAAGCTTGCACTCTGCAAAGAAGCCACACCAGAAATGCTCATTTACTTGTGACCCTGCAAGGAGTTTCTGGATCTTTCAAACACCACTGATATAAGTTCATCACTATGAAACCTTGAAAGTACAAACATTTATAACTGTGGTCACTTGGGTTAACTGCACCATGAAGTCCCCAAACAGAAACTTGAGAAGTTTTTGAATCAGACATTGAGATTCTCCACCTCCTCACCATCTCGGGATCAGATTTATGCATTTTCTTTTGGCCAGTTACAAGTCACTAGGTATTTCGTTATAAAGCGTTACAGACAAGCAGCAGTCTCCACTTGGCTTTCACAGCAGACTTCTACTTTTTAGGTCAGATGATTTCCCCTGCCACAAGAAGAGTCACTGTTGAGGAACGATACCCATCATTTCCCAGTTGCTGAGAGGTGCAGCACTGAACATACAGGCTTCAAACACGTGTCTGTCAGCAGAAGCATGACAAGCCTCACATACAAGCATCAAGTACATGCAAAACTCACCAACCCTCTTCCTTCCCCGATTCTAGTTTCGGAGCCATCAAGTTTCAAAAAATCTTTACATTTAGGAATAGGTGGTCAAACTGATCCATTATGTCAAAGCAAGCCCCAAACAATTCACTAAGCAATTTCTATACCCACAAGAGCCTATTCATTTTTATGGTTGTCCAATTAAACTTCTTCCCATTATTTGAAATAATAAATTCAGTTTGACAGAAGCTCATATTCATGAAGTCAACTACTGGTTCAAATCAGTGGCGCTGGAACATTTTTAACAGTGGGGATGCTGAAAGCCAGCCCTCTTACCCCTCGCTGCGCCCCTTCCCCCCTCCCCTGAGCTGGGGCCAAGAGCAGGGCCCTGTCTCCGGGAGAATGGGACCCAGACAGGGGTAAGGGGGCTGAGGCTGTGGTCGGCAGCTAGGACCCCGGGCTGGGAGCGCATGTGTGGGGCCAGGAGCTGAGCCCCACCTAAAACCTAGGGGTGCTGCAGCACCCCCCATACCCTTAGTTCCGGGCCTATGGCTCAAATAGGACAATACACACTTGGTACTTTGTCCAAGCTAAAGAATTTTTCACTTGACCAGAGCTCAAAGAGCCAGGAAGCGATTTAATTTACTACGGTTCACCCAGCTAGACCTAAGACATTAGAAATTTTCAGATTTAAGGATCATAGTCTGTATGTTTATATATCCTCTGATCCCTGTGTTGCCTCTCATTCAAAAAGTTATTAAAATGCTTTTTGTCTTTGTCTATAAAATAAAATATGCAGAAATACTGTATGTATTTGACCAATACAAATAGCAGACCAAGAGAAAAATGCAAGAAAACTGCAAACATCATTTTCCTGGTAATCAAGTGCACAAACTTGTTGATACCAAAGTTTACTTAATTTTCACACAGTTGCATATTAATCCAAGGTATGACATTTCTCAAAAAACATTTCTCCTACACATCAGTAAGTGCCTGGTATTGACCTGGCATCCTTTTGACACAATCTCATCTAGCACCACTGCCTCGACACTGCTTGTACTGTAGAAGTGACAATAAACATGGGAGAAGTTGTTTGTGGTAGCTGTGAGATAGCAAACAGAGGCAGGCTTAGTAGAAGGAAATGTAAACCACACAGGTGTGAGAAGCCATCACAACTGTACCTGGCTCCTTTTGGACTGGTTCCAGAAATTTGGGCTCTAGTTCTAGATCTTTCATCGTCATCACTTTCTCTTCCTCCTCATCTTCGTCTATTGGGCTTATCTCAATATTTTCAAGGACATGTATAACTAAAAAAATTATGCATTCATTAAAATGCCACCTCAAAGACGGCATGGAAAAGGAGAAGTTACCAAGAGCAAACTTGCAAGAACCACCTCTCTTCAGGAACCTTGTCTGAATATCAGCACGCAGAATTATGCTACTAATTTTATGATGCTTTGGGATAAGAGGACAGGGGGAGAGAACACAAAATTCAAACAGTTTCCTTTGGCAGCCTATAATTACTTATCTGATGTATCAAATACTAATTACTTTGATTACAAGGTTATACTTAAAATGTATTTCTGTACCTAGCATAATATTGGCTATAGAGGCACAACTTGTTATGGATAATAATGAAGAACCACATAAAATGAGAGTGGTCAGGCTGAGAAAGGAAACAATTAACTGTCAGGTGTGCATGGATTCAATGCCTGGAAAGCAACATGTTCACAAAGGTCCATCTCAACAGAGCTGGGTGGAGAAATTGTTACAATTTGGCAATAACAATGTACATGGTTTTGGAGGTGTAGTAAGCCACTACTCTGACCCACAGAGGAGTATGTGATGGGACCAAAGAGTGGAGGGAATGGGTACCTTGCAAACAAACAAAGACTGGTTGATGGGAGAACAAAGGAATATTTCCCTACAAAGGGAAGAAGAAACTCTGCTGATGCACAGAACCGTGGACCATGTGATCCGGACATAGCTGGCAGGCTGAAAGTGCAAGGCTCTGAGAAACTAGTTTTGCCTGCCACACTGCAGCAGGTAATATTTGGATATCGTGTAATTAAAGGACAGAGCTAGTTTACTAGTTTATCAACCTTTTCCACAGTATCCCAGTAGGTGATATTTCTACGTATTTTACATTTTATTACATTATGTTGGTTTCCAACTTCTGTAATTTGCCAATAAAATCTGCCTTTATTTAAGACAAATGGAGGTTTATTTGAAGCAATGGAGTGGCTTGGAAAGAGCAACTGACTCCAGGGGAGGCTGAATCAGTAGTGAAGAGCCGTCAAGTACAATGCAATAAAAAAAGGAGGTTGCAATCTAACTCCTCAAACGGTGTAGCACAACAGCTGTCACAGGTCAGGGAGAGCACAACTTGAACAATTCTAGACTTTGTATACTGCTAGTAGGATTTATGACACATATGCCTATGAAAGTGACAACACTGCAGCACTTCCAGCAAGGTACACCACCTTTGGAGGTTGCCATCTGTATGAATCAGTGCATGTATCAATGGAACTGCTGAACCACTGCTGTAAACATATTTCTTTTATATGTCTCCCCACCCCACTAAAGTTGTCTGGCTCATAACTACGTTTGATGTTGTAGCATTATGATCCAAGGTACTTGCCACGTTTACTCTGGTTTTAATTGAGTTAGTACCACAGCAAAAATTCTAGCCATATTCTATAGTATTTCAGCACCTTTAACACTGGCAATCCAGAACGCTGCTTGTACATAACAAACAAGCTGTGTAAAAGCAGGTGTAAGTACTGTAGGAGGTGATGTTAGCACGACTGTATGAGAAGCCATCACAGCTGTACCTGGCTGTTTTTGGAATGGTTCCATTAATTTTGATTCTGGAACAGTAACCTTAAACACCTCCACTTTCTCCTCTTCCTCTTCTTCTGCTATTGGTTTCATCTCAATATTTTCAAAAGTATGTTTGGCTAGAAGAAGTTATGAATGCATTAATATACCAAATGGAAGACTGCAGGGAAGTAACAGTCACTAATGGTGAGGTTAGGGTCAATGGGGACTCATCTCTTAAGGACAGCGTATGTCTACATTTGACGGGGGTGGTGGGGAAAAACAGCCCACACACTAAAATTGCCTGTTTTAAGCCGCTCTAGGAATTAGATCTTTGGTATAATCCTGCGTTGCAATTGCATACGAAAACAATCAAAACAATCAGAATTGTGTCCTGGTGTCTTACTTGCTAGCCCTTTGCAGTGCCTTGTGGGAGGCCTGGGTTGATTTACAGTATCAATCTCTGACTTCTCAAGCCAGCCGGAGCTGGCAACACTTGTGTAGGCAGATGTCACTCCGGTATGGAAGAAGATGGGAATGACTGACCTGTGTCAGTCTCCATCTTAGGAAAGGTATTGATGGGCCTGTCTATATCTTTTTGGACAGAAACATTATGGCTACAAAACAAGGTTTCTATAGTGAATTGTGGTGGGAGTAGCAGAATGGGACTCTACTCAAACACAGATATGGAGGATGCTGGCTGGACAGAATTATGCACCAGTAAGCATTCATGAGTTTCCTTTCATTATTAGAGAAGTAGCAAACAGAGCAGATTTCTGATAACACTGGTATAATACACTAATTCATCCTAACACTATACAAAATTTATACACATCTCAGCTTCTTTGCCAAGAAGTCAACAAGATACTGTTGTAACAAATAATAAACATGTCCTAAGAAATCTAGGCTCTACAAAAGATGGCTCCCCAAGATGTCATGAACTATAAAACATATTTAACAAGATTTAAAAAAAATGCAAGCAACCTCTAAAATGAAATCCAAAAAGAGAGTTTTAAAGCAGATATTTTAAGACCACAAAAACAATATTCCACATTTTCTAATCTAGCATTTATAAAAAGAACAGGAGTACTTGTGGCACCTTAGAGACTAATAAATTTGTTAA